GTTTACCTTGTTGATTAACTTATCACATTCACTGATTTTCTCAAGAATGGAGTTTACCTTGTTGATCTTTGAAAGATCGATTAGATTCAAAACAGGTTAGAGCACGACAATGGATTAAATATGCTGAATGATTATAAGCCAGAACCTTAGAAGAACTCGATAAATAATTTCTACTATAGAGTAAAGTTCCTTGAGCCTATCCCAGATTGATTTTGCTATGTCACAAGAACTAACTAGACAAAAGGTATCAATAGGCAAATCAAATCGAATGATTCTTATTGCCTTAACATTGTGGATCAGTTTGTCCTTCTCATCTTGAGGAACATCCTTTACTTCAAGAAGAAGTTTGTTATAGTCAGTTTGAGTTTTGATAACTCTTCTGGTTCCAGTGTGAACTAATGCCCCTAGAGTGAAGGCTTTACATATCAGATATCCATTATCTTCAAGACCAAGAATGTAATCATTGAAGTGGAGCGCCCGCACTTCATATTAGTTGGGAAAAAGAATTGGGATCCTAGTGGTCGGTCCAATGCTGCTAGAAATGTTTATGGAGTTGATGTGAGAATCGTCGTGGTACATGATGATATACTTTAGAAACTTGTTAAGAATCAGAAGTGTAAACATAATCAGTTTTAGGGTAATATCAAGATCACTGAATAGCATCAAGAAAAGTATGATGAAGGCTAAATCAGATCCAATATTAACGGAAACCCTAATGACTCTATTAACAGAAGAGATGTGTATAGATTACATAGTCCCTTGCTCTGATACCAATTATTAGGATATTAATCATTGAATGAATGATTAGATTCAAAACAGAGCAAAATAAGAGCACGACAATGGATCAAATATGTTGAATGATTATAAGCCACAGCCTCAAAAGAACTCGATAAAGAATTTCTACTATAAAGGCATGGTTAGGGTGACAATAATATTATCAAAAGTTGCCAAAACGTGATGCATGCATGCACCTTAAATAATATATCCCTAGAAACAAGTAACGGGTGGACAGGCCCAACTCGGTTACAAAATAAACAAAAAAGGCCCAATGACGCAACATAATATCTTCAACACCCTGATATGCTAGGCAAGTTACCAGTTGAAAGATACCGAAGGGGTGTTATATAGTATGTGGTATGATGGGGGAACTTACTAAGCTTTATGCTTATAGTTTTCAGTTTTTGTTCTAGGTCCTTCTTCTTCGAAGGGAAAGAAGCCGACACGATAGTTGCGCATCACGCACACTATTCTCCGCATATGAGATTTTTTGGATTTGTACTCTGACATTATTTTCTTATGATATGTTTTTGAGATGACTGACTTATGATTTTCACGATATGAGATAACATTGATGGCATTTTCAGTAATCTGTTTTATGAATCTTAAAATTTTTAAAATGAATTTATTTTGTCTTCAAATTTGGGAGGTTACATGGCCTTTTAGATGTTTAGGTCAAATTTTCTCATTTATATACTTATTATACTTATGAGCGGCCATATCTGTAATATTGTAGCAAAAAGCATGTGTGGAATTAATTCTCTCTCTCTCTCTCTCTCTCTCTCTCTAGTTCGACATTGGATGTAGTTTATCGTAAGATAGTTTGAACCACTTAAATCCCTGCGTGTAGTGTGTTTTGATTTTCGTTTATGCTTTTTATCGTATTCCTCATATTTGTTCCCATTTATTGTTGTTCTTTACATAACAACTGGTATCAGAGCTACGGGAAAGTGATGATTGATAAATTTGAAGGCCGTGATTTTGGATTCTGGAAGATACATATTTAGGATTACTTATACCAAATGAAATCACACTTACCATTATCTGAATAGAAACCTGAGAAGATAGATTTTACAAGATGGATCTTGTTGGACTGACAGTCCCTTGGCGTTGTCAAATTATCACCGGTGAAGAATGCCACCTACAACATCGTCAATGAGAAGACCACATTTGGAATGATAAAGACACTATCCAACATGTATGAAAAGCCATCTGTATCAAACAAGGTTTAATTGATCAGAAAATTGGTAAACACGAAAACGAAGGAAGGAGTGTATATGGCAGACCACGTCAATAAGTTCAACTTGATAATATCCAGGTTAGGATATGTTGAAATTAAATTCGAAGACGAAGTCCGGGCTTTACTATTATTATCTTCGTTGCCCGAAAGTTGGGCCGGAATAGTTACTACAGTTAGTAGTTCTTCAGGAACTACGAAACTCACATTCAAAAAAAATCAAAGATCTTATTCTTATTGATGATGTTCGGAGAAGGAATGTAGGAGAAGGTTCCACTAGTTTACTCAATATGGAAGAGAGGGGCATAAGATAATAACAAAGGTGGATATGGAAGAAAAAGATCATAATCAAGGAAGAGAGGATAATCAAGAAGTAGAAAAGAAGTCATCTACTGGAAACGAAATGGAACATGACATTTTAGAAATAAATGCCATAAACCTCCTGCAGATAATGGCAAGAAGGAGATGAACGTGGTTGAAGACTACGATGATTCACTAATTTGTTGTGTAGAGAATCCAATCGAGTTTTGGGTGATGGATTCAGGAGCACCGTTTCATGCTTCACACAACAAAGAAATCATGAGAAGATTTAGACCTTACATCAGAACTATTCATCTGGTATATGGTAAAATTTTGAAGATTACTGGTATTGGAGATGTAGCTTTAAAATCTTTGATGGGTACTACCTGGATTTTAAAGGATGTGAAATATATTCTTGACATGAAGAAAATACTGATCTTAGAGCTAGATAAAGAGGGACATGATGTAAAGTTTAGAAAAGGTAAATAAAAGGTTATTAAAGGGAACTTAGTAATTGACTCAAGGAAAGAAGAAGGGAAATCTATATAATATGGAGTTGACCTCAGGAGAAGCAAATGCAACTATTGAAGATGAGGAGTCCTTTAATTTATGACACCAAATATGTGGCCATATGAGTGAGAAGGGAATGAAGATGCTTGCTTCAAAGTCTAGAATCCTACAACTGAAGAATATGACAATCGACTTCTACAAACCATGCATATTTGGTAAACAGAAAAGAGTTACTTTCGTGAAGACGGGCCAACTACTAAAATCAGAAAAGCTTGAGCTGATACATTCTGATGTCTTCGGTACTCCCACATCAGTTTCATCTACAAGAGGTTCCTGATATCACATTTCCTTTATAGATGATGCTACAAGAAAGGTATGGGTTTACTTTCTGAAAAATAAATCTGACATTTTCTGTACTTTTAAAAGGTTCAAAGCTGTTGTGGAGAACGAGACAAATCTGAAGATTAAATATTTGAAGTAAAATAATAGAGGTGAATACATCAGCAAGGAGTTTATTGATTATTGTGCAGACCACGGGGTCCGAATATTGAAGACTGTGCTATAAACACCTCAGAATAATAGTGTTGCAGAGAGTATGAAAAAAATTAAACAAGAGAGCGAAGAGCATCAGGTTACATGAAGGGATTCTAAAAATGTTATGGGCAGATGCAGTGAGAACAACTACTTACCTTATAAATCGCATACCCTCTATCTCTTTGGGTTCTCCACCGTGACAATCAAAGTGTTGTTGTACATCTTGCGAAGAATCTGGTGTTTCACAGCCAAACGAAAAACATACAGTTGTGATATCATCTCATACGGGAGACTTATAATTGATGGTACACTAAATCTGAAAAAAAAATAAAAAATCCTTGGTATGATAATTCAGTTGATATGTTTACTAAGTTGAAGTTGTGCATGACTTCAACTGGGCTTTCAGAAACTTGAAGAGGAGCTAAAAATGAGAGAGAGAGAGAGAGAGAGAGAGAGAGAGAGAGAGAGAGAGAGAGAAGTGTTACAGAGGATGCGGACGTTGATGGATGTTGAATGATGATCAAGTCTTCAAGTGGGAGATTGTTAGTTATGGAGACTTATCATCATGACTGAAATTTAAAGACTAAAATTTTTTGGGTGCAGACCACAAGATCTCGGGTGCGACTTGCCCGGCCAATTTATTTGATGAACTCGGCCTTTTAGATATTTAGGTCAAATTATGTTGTTTATATACTTATAAACAACCGTATCTATAATATTATAGCAAAAAGTGTGTGGAAAATCTCTCTCTCTCTCTCTCTCTCTCTCTCTCTCTCTAGTTCGACAATGGATGTAGCATATCGTAAGATAGTTTGAACCATTTAAATACATGTGTTTCGATTTTCGCTTTTGTTTTTTTTATCGTATTTGCCAGACCTGTTTCCGTTTATCCGTGTTCTTTACCTAACAAAAATAGCCTAACTAAACTTATTATTATTCTAAGACATATATTCACACAAATATTTTAAGATGATAGAACAATATATATATGTAAAAGTCTCTAACAAGAATCATAAAAGGATAATATATTTATACGTCTTTAACAAGAATCATAAAAGGATGCTAAAACATCCAAGTAATCAAATATATAAAAACATTGCCCTTGCCTAGTAACTTGGGATGAAAGTAACTGAATAACTCCCTTGTGGAAGAATTTGGCTCATAACATGCAAGAGTGGTTTTTATGTTTCCTTCAAGGTTATCTGTAATTAAAGACCTATACCATGTAGGAAATTGTATTTTGCATTTATATCTGTTTTAGAAGTCACTTGTCAAACTTACCAAACAGATACGTGATTCTTGATTATTAGAGATGAGATATGATTTGATTTTTTTAAATCCCGTTATGGCTAGTTAGCTTTTGTATGTATATCTGCGTATTATATATACTAATCAATGAAGATGAATATATTAAATTAAAATTCCTCACATTGACCCATTCCACAGTCAACTTGTGTACTATTTCGTTCAACTTATTTGAAACTTTCAAAACTGTTTCATGAAACACTTATCACTGTACTCTTGGAAGAAGTATATCCATTGATGAAACTCCAAACTCGAAATATATTTCAGCATATGATATGAAATCTGTCATTTTTCATTCTCTCTTTATCCATCTCCGTGTCCAAGTTTGGTATTAGTCATGCGCTTCACAGAAAGTAGCAGTAACTTATCAAGGTTTTTGGTCCTCCTGTTTTTCACTTTATCCATCAGTATCTCATATGGAACCAACACTCTATCTACAAACCAGTCTCTGTCAGGAGACCTTACAATCATATCCCATGGTGAAAAATTCGAGTTGGGTTTCTTCAAGGCAGGTAACTCTTCCAACTATTACATAGGCATCTGGTATAAGAAACTCTATTCAAATCCTCCTATCATAGTTTGGGTGGCAAACAGAGAAACACCCATCTCCGATAGATTCCGTTCAGAATTAAAAATCATTGATGGTAATTTGGTGCTCTTGAATGAGTCCAAGTTCCAGATTTGGTCCACAAACATCACCACCACTTTGAAGTCTGCAATAGTTGTTCTTCGTGATGATGGTAACTTAGTTTTGAGTGACAGCTCAAATTCAGTTGAACCTGTTTGGCAAAGTTTTGATCACCCAACGCATACTTGGTTGCCTGGTGCTAAATTTGGTTATGATAATAGAACAAAAAAGAACCAGGTTCTTACTTCATGGAGAAGCAAAGAAGATCCTGCTGTAGGAATCTTCTCTTTGGAGCTTCATCCGTCTAGTAATGAGTACGTGATCCAGTGGAATGGCTCCCATCAATATTGGACAAGCGGTTCTTGGAATGGGAAAACATTTGACTTAGTACCTGAAATGACATCGAATTCCCTTTTTAATTTCAGCTACCATAAGAATGAGAACGAGAGTTATGTCACTTACACAGTGTATAATCCTTCCGTTACATCTAGCTTCGTAATAGATGTTTCTGGTCAAGTTCAGCAACTAACATGGGTGGAGACTGCCAATGACTGGAATTTGTTTTGGTCTCAACCTAAAACACGGTGTGATGTCTATGCTCTGTGTGGGGCCTTTGGGATTTGTAGGCAGACTGTATCACAATTCTGTAATTGCTTCATTGGCTTCAAACCAAGATCAGAGAGTGATTGGAATCAGAGTGATTTCTCCGGTGGGTGTGTGAGAAAAACTGATTTGCAGTGTGGGGGGAACATGGAAAAGCAAGATTCTTTCATGATTAAAGCCAAGAGCTACCCACCTTCAAATATAACTCTGGAAGTTGGGAGTGCCGAAGAATGTCGTACCACATGTTTGAAGAATTGCTCCTGTAATGCTTACTCTTTTGTCGATAATCAGTGTTTGGTTTGGAATGGAGATCTCTTGAACCTCTCGGAAGATAACGATAGTGGAAAAACAATCTACGTGAAAGTCGCTTCTAAAGATCTTCCACATCATACAAAGAGTTATTGGGTCATTGTGGGTGCTGTTGTAGGTGGGGCTTTTCTCTGGGGTCTAATTTTGGTTTTAATATATAGAAAAAAGAGAATCTCAGTTGGAAAGACGACAATGGAGGGATCATTGCTGGCGTTCACCTACAAAGATTTAAAAGTAGCCACCAAAAATTTCTCCGACAAATTAGGAGGAGGTGGTTTTGGCTCTGTTTTCAAGGGAGTACTGCGTGATTCATCCACTGTAGCAGTGAAAAAGCTTGAAAGCATAAGCCAAGGAGAGAAGCAGTTCAGGAGCGAAGTCAGCACAATCGGATCCATCCAACACGTTAATCTTGTACGCCTTCGTGGGTTTTGTGCACAAGGTAACAATAAGCTGTTGGTGTATGATTACATGGAAAACGGTTCTCTGGACACCCATCTTTTCCGTGGAAAACAAGTTTTAAACTGGAAAACAAGGTATCAGATTGCACTAGGAGCTGCAAAAGGGCTGGCCTATCTTCATGAGAAGTGTAGAGACTGTATAATTCACTGTGACATAAAGCCAGAAAACATTCTCTTAGGTGCAGATTTCAGTCCAAAAATTGCAGACTTTGGTCTAGCAAAACTTGTTGGTCGAGATTTTAGTAGGGTTTTGACAACTATTAGAGGGACACCCGGGTATCTAGCACCAGAATGGATATCAGGGTTGGCAGTCACAGCTAAGGCAGATGTTTATAGCTATGGAATGATGCTTTTTGAATTAGTATATGGAAAACGAAATGTGGTGCATTGTGAAGATTCAAGGAGTACATTCTTCCCAGGTTTGGTTACAAATGTTCTTATGGAGGGAGGTGATATCCTTAGCCTGTTAGACAGTAGATTAAATAGGGAAGCTTGTGTTGAAGAAGTGACAAAAATTTGCAAAGTTGCATGTTGGTGTATCCAAGATGAGGAAGACAGTAGGCCTGTTATGAGTCTGGTGGAAAGGATTCTTGAAGGGGTTTCGGATGTGAGCATGCCTCCGATCCCCCAAATTGTCACTTTATATGTTGAGAACATCGAGGATCCTGTTTTCTTTACTGATTCACCCTTAAACAGGTGTTCGGTACTACAGAGCAATTCTTCAGTTGAGGACTCCCAGTCAAAGGGCTCATCTTCGTGAAGGTGATTCTTTTTATATTCTCTGTTATGTTTAAAGTAGATATTGTATCGTGATAAAAATAAATGAGTCATTGACTCTTTGTTGCAAATAGATGACTGATATTTTCAAAATGCTATACTCTACAAAAATGAAGTATTTTGGAGAAATATGTTTAAAGGATGATGATTTCTTAGCGTTTAGTGGTTTACTTATCTACAACTGTTCAAAACTTCCTTTTTTTTTTTTTTTGCACTAGAGCTCTTTCGGCATATTTGTGTCAATTTGGATCTGGTTTGTTAGAGAATAATGGTTGAGAAAGTTGAAATTATGGATTTTATTCTAAATCAAACTAATCTTGGAAACAATGAATATATTTGGAACTCTTGTTACAGATTAATTTGATTGGTTTTAGTGCAGTTAATGTACAAGTAATTCAAGGCATAATGTGTAGGGTCGTTGAAAGCTGAAGGTAGGAAGCAGCAAGAAGTTTCGAAAAGGACTGAAGTTGATTAAATGAGTTGTAGCTATTTGTGCTATCTATAGATAAGAGTGAATTATAGAAATTGTAGTTACGGTTTGGTCAAATTTATATTTTGGTCGCTTGTAAAAAAAGATAGTGTATACCCCTGTGATGTTTGAAAATTTGGTTTTTGAAAATTATTCCGATGGTCCGCTGGTCCATTTAAAAAGAATAAATACCTTTTTATTTTTTCTTTTTATTTTACCAATTTATAATTTTCAAGAGTTTAAAATAAACGATGGCCCACACCCAACCCCATTCTCTCTCTCTCTCTCTCTCTCTCTCTCTCTCTCATAAGCGGTTAACCACCGGGTCTTGAAACTTTGGAAACGGAACTGGAGCCGATTACACGGGTTCCTTATATTTTTGAATCGGAACTAGAACTGTCAGACCCGTTCCAGTATAAAATTAGGATGATGGCAAAATGATAGAGATCAATATCTAATAGCATAACTATTTTTTAGTTGCAATTTGCTTTGCATATATATACTGAAAAGTCATAAGAACCAAAATATCTATGTTATGAATTTTTGACACCTGAGTACAATATGGTTGATTATTCAGACGTTGTTTATAACAAATTGAAAATAATTTTTTTTTATATAAAATAAATCCATGATTAGATGATTAGTTCATATACAAACCGATTCCGGTGGATACCCAACAGGTAAAAAGATTCCGAAAAAATAAGAACTGAAACCTAAACCGCTTAATGCGGTTCTGAAACTTTAGGAACCGGGACCGAAACTGGTTAAGGCAATTCGAGTTTTAGAACTCACAGTTCCGAGACAGTTTCAATTTCAAAAACAGATACCAGTTCCAATGCTCACCCCTGCAACTAACATACCAAAACTAACAAATATCCAAAGACAACATGCATTGACACATTGTCACACCCTGTCACAACCGTTCACCCACCGATCCTTTACGATCTCTTCCCCCAAATTCAACAACTTGTACGGCCTTTGGTTCTATTTTGGATGAAATTTTACTTTCTTACCTAATCACACTTCCATTTTGATGAATTATGTTGGGTTATGTTTGGAAACTCACGTCACCATGCCAAATTGGAGGAGAATGAGCTTTACAAAACAACTACCATGCATATTCCAGGGTTTAATTTCGATTATGATGAAATATATTCCACCAGCGGATGAGCTTGATGAAACAACTACGATGGATATTTCAGAGTTTAGTTATGACTCCGATGAAATCGAATCCACCTGTGGATGAGCTTGACGAAACAACTGCAATGGATGTTTTAGGGTTTAGTTATGATTATGATGAGATCGAATCCAGGGGTAGATAAGCTTGATGAAAAAACTAATATGGATGTTTCAAGGTTAAATTACGATTGTGATGAAACAATACCCACCGGTGAACATGAAATTTGAAATGGGAGCAATTCAAAGTGTGTTGTTATGCTTAGGTTTGTCATCCACAAAATCAACAAGATAGCGGTTGTTCTCAATTAATTTCGTGAATTTTTTTCCAGACAATCCATCTAATTAAAAGATAACGTATATGATTAACTGGATAAACCGTTCAATTGTTTCTATGATTGTGTATTTTTCAAGGTTGCAAAAAACCTTTGACGTTAGGTAGTCAGTGGACTGGGGTTAATTGATAAATTAGGAGATTAATCGGGTACCATAAACTGCAAATCTGTTGAGCTTTTAAAAAAATGATTAATATCATAACAAAGTTCGTAAATACATCTAATATCATAACAAAATAAGTTAATATGATTAATACCATACTAATCATTCCTCAATAGTTTATACCGAGATAGAACTTCTTCAAAGTGTTAAAATTTTATCGTTTTCTACTTCTTTACTCATTATGTACACATGGATTGTAACAACCCGAAATTTATTTCGTCACTGTAACCCACTTCGGTTAATAAAAAATTATTTTTAATAAAGTTTTCCGTTAACTTTTGAGTTAAGTAAATCCATTTGGGTTATTGTTGTATTTTCATATGCGCCTGAAAGCAATAAAATCACGTGAAATAACCTCGATTTCTTTTGGAAAAATTTCTAACTCACGACTAAGTCGGGTTACAGCCATTTAATCGGGTTAAATCGTAAACTCCGTTTGATGTCGGGATTGGGTGGATCCCCACCTGGCCGTGAACTCAACCCTATATAAGGGGGTTTTGATGCCCCAAAACCCTTCCAAATGCTTAGCTAATGGCCTATGGACTTGCATGAATGATCTAAGAACCCCAAAACATGAAAATAGAGGTGTAAACATGAGTTTACGGTTTGGGAATGTCCCAAAACTGTAAACACCTCCAAAGGGTGTTTAAGTGCCCCTAACACCTTCTATGGCTTATATTTGGGTCTAGAACTTGGCATGCTTAACCTACAACCACCAAAACACATGAAAAATGGACAAACATGAGTTTACGGCCGTAAACTCATGTGTTTACGACCGTAAACTCCCCAAGGAGTGGTTCATAAACTGTAAACTCCATTCACGGATCATTTCAAGTTCCAATCACTTCCATAGCCTTTGATTCAACCCTAGGACCCTTCCTTGAGTAAGATAAGACCTTTAAGCACCCAATAACACCAATCCCATGAGTTTATAGCCGTAAACTCATGGGGATATGGTCCCAGAACCGTAAACACCCCTAAGGGCCCCCACTTGAAGAGTAAACTCTTTAACGAGGCCATACACTCCTTATATGCAATCTGTATCATTCGTAACACTTGAAATAAAGTGTTTCCACGCATTAGAGTGTATTTACTTGCTTAATTAGTGGTTTAATGACTAATTAGATACAATTATGTATCACTTCATATTACATGGGATCCTCGCGTGTGTTCAAGCCCTAAATTCAAACCTAGCATCCTACCCGGCACACACACATCAGGTGAGTTCATAACCCTACACCTTTTTCCGAGTTTTTCATGTTTTCAAGGGCGATTACAAGCAAAAGTACAAGGGAACTTGTACTCAAAGCCAATTATTTCGTATGAAATGTTTACATGTTCACTATGCTTTTAACACAAAACCGTTTTACCAAACGATTAAGAAATTAACTTGCAAAGTTAGTTTTCAAAACTAAAACACGGAATTTGTGAATCTCATCATAAAATGTTATATTTTATGTTATACTTTATAATTTACAAAGGATTCATACCAATCATAAAACAGGATTTTCCATATTATTACTTGTAAATTCGTCAATCTTAGAATTGGAGACACGTCCTTAGTAACACTCCAAAGAGATACGCGAGTGAAGGACCAATAAAACAAGATTTTCTGTACAATTACTTTACTACCTACTTATTAGTTTTATATTAAAACTAACGTATTTCATTAGGGTAACCGAGCTTTCAAAGAAACTGCACCTAACGATACAAGTATGGTAGATACTTGTACACTTCATTTCCGGATCGATAACCAACCATTGACTTTTAAGGAAAAAAAGGGTTTTTCCTGGGATAACTTAACTTTTCATAAACATGCTGTTTAACAAATGATAACCAAACTTCTTTTATAAGAAAGTATGGGATTTTCTTGGATAACAACTTTTCATAAAACCAAATGAAGATTTTCATTCACCAGAATCAACCGCTTATGAACTCACCAGCTTTATACTGATATATTTTTAAAACTGCTTGTATTCTCAGGTCAACGTTAGACAGGTACTTCGATCACTTTTGGAGAAGACGGAGCATATAGAAGTCCCGTCTTTACTTTTGATTATACGGTGATGTATATAAAGTATGTATTTCTCCACTTCCAAAAAAATGTAAATATTCTTATGTAATGTAATGGTTGTGTTTACTATGCTTACTATGTACATTGGTTGTGATACTACACATGACGTCCTCCGCCCCGAAATGTTTCTGCCGTTGGTTTCAGGGTGTGACATGGATTAATCACTAATTGGTCAGGGTAGTGCATCAGGATTAATCAGGACCTAGTTTTGATTGTTACATCGTTGGTATTTGTAATTGTTATCGATTAATGATTTTGTATTGCTACTAATGTTAAAGTCACTTATCTAATGGTTGATTAACTATATAAACCTAAAGTTGTAGAAATTTTTTGATGGTTCAATACCTAGCTTGATAACTATATAATAATTCAAGGCATGTGACATATTTGACCCATAAGATTCATGGAGTGTAGGAGCAAAACATATGGTGGACCCCCCTTAAAAACCCAACAAAATTTGTGGCTGAAGCCCCTTTCTGCGATGGTGTTACGATCCCACATCGGTCAAAAGTAATATAAGTTGGTGGCTTATAAGTCTAAGTGTCCCCTTCTCCTACAATCAAATTTTAAGGATTGAGTTTTACATTACGCTTATGGTGTGATACGATGAAACTTCCCAAAAATTTTGTTTTTAGATCATTAATAAAACCATAATGTCATCATCATATAAAATCATAAACCATGTATCTCGAAAATATCATAATATCTGTCAACATATCAGAAACTCATATCAAATATCAAAGTAAATATCCTAGGCTTGAAAATTGTGGTGTGTGCCATGCGATCATCTCGAACCCTTGCTTTTGCTAGCAGAAATACCTGAAACTAAAACTGAAACTGTAAGCATGAAGCTTAGTAAGTCTCCTAAAACTAACACATACCATACAATAAACACATAATAACATATACTGGGCCTTGCCCACTGTATCGGGACGAACCTGGCATCGAACTCCTGCCCGACATCGGTCCTCGCCTGGCATCGGGCTTACCCCGACATACACACAACATATCATTTATCATAAACACATAATATAAGCATATAACACTTATCAGGCTTGCCCTGACATTGAACCGAAGTCCGGAACACATAACATATAAGCTAACATACATCGGGCTTGCCCCAACAATGGACCGAAGCCCAGAATGCATAACACATAACATATAAGCTAACATATATCGGGCTTGCCCCAGCATCGAACCAAGGTCCGGAACACATAAAACATAACATGAATGAATCAGAAAGATATCAAGCATACATAACTACTTCTCGGGACCGCCCCGACACCGGACCGAAGTTCGGAACACATAATCTGCATCGGGCTACCCCCAACATCGGACCGAAGTCCAACATACACTATCATACATAAATGATCGGGCATTGGTGACTTCAACCCGTTCCTACCAGAGGAAAA